AGGAAGGAAGGAAGGAAGGCCCCAAATGAGGCTTAAATGTGGTCACAAGCTCCTGGAATTTTACAGTTTTCATGTTAAGGCCTCTGGGGACTCCTTTAATCATGTTTCACAATTTTCTTCCCCCCACATTTTAAGGTTTTTTTCCCCTCCTCCCCCGAAATTGTTTGACCACAGACTGTCACTCCCTCTGCCTCCCTTTTCTCGGTCCAGCCTAAACCTGTTCACCTTTGTCATTCTGGAATCACCTTTTGCGTCCATACGCTTGTTCCTTTTGTTAACATACTTCTTTCTCATTACTGTTAATTACGGGACTAACAGTTTCATTCATTTCTGAATATTTCTAGGTACAGAAATCAAAAAAGTGAGAAGTCAAGAAAGGAGTATGAGAGGGTGACCTCGGGGGACCTGGCGTTGCCACAGGTCTGAGCGGTGCCATCAGGCTCACGGGCTGGGAGGCACAGCCAGCCTGCTTACGTTGATATTCCTATTTTATTAATAATATTTATGTTGGGTCAAGTGTTAAGTTGACATTGTGTGTTTTTAATATACTTGGAAACTTCTGTATTTTTGTTTTATTTTTGACAGACTGTGTAATGTACACAAACTAATATAGAAATAAAATAGGTATTATTTTTTTTCTTGAGCTAAATGCTTTATTGGAAGCTACAAAGCTTCTTTGCCTACCAAATAGGTTGCTCAGGAAGTATCAGCAAATGACAGATTTCTGTAAGCTCAACCATATGGTCAAATCAATTTAATAAGTACATTTTCTCTACTCAAAGCAGTGATAATTGGTTTGACTACACCATACTTTGACGTATAGGTTGGCACCACTGTGCCATGTACTGAAACAATGATAAAATGAGCATCGGGGTGAAGCAAACACGGACTGTGTGCTAAACATTACAATCATTTGAAACAAACTGCACTGGGAGAGCTCCGCTGCCCGCAGGCCCGTCCTCAGCGCTAGCTGCTCACCTGCCAGGACGGGATTCCCTGTCCCGGCCACACTCCTGCGGATTCGAGCCACCCACTGACAGATTCTTACGTAAAATGAACTGAGAACTTAGCTTTATACCACCTTTATGCAAATAGTAGGTATTTTATAGCTTCACAGTGTTCCTCCTTTTACAGCATTTATGTGAGGTAACTGTTGTTCCTGAGACAATTAAAAAAAGCCAAAATTTGTGCTTCTTTGTAAGAGTATTTATTTTCTTAAGGACTTTGCTGAAGAATTCTAAGATTAACTCATAGTCCAAAATTTTATGGACTAATCATTATTTTAAAGTATAAGACAATCATTCTGTATATTGTCTAAAGACAGAAATAGTTGTTTTCTATACAAGAGGTTTTTAACTTAAGAAATTAAGTCATTAGCTTCTTGTAGAATTTAAAATTATATGTTTAATATTATATCCTGATGCAGGATGTGGGGGAAATAAGTCAGGGTGTTTTTTCCCAAATGAACAAATTTATTTGAAAGCTTTATCAATTTAGACTTAACCATTCCTTCCTTCCTATGGAGGTTGAGATGAAACCAGGGCCCTGGCTTCCGCCTTTTGTTTATTTTTTGGAGGAGACAGAAAGGGGCCATTTTGGTTAATCTGAAGCATCTCAGCTCATATTGCATAACTGAATGCAAGCACCTTGGTGTGTTTTCAGTCTTTATTTAAGAATGCTTGTAGAACTAACCCCTATAAAAGTTAAATCTTTATTTAGAAATGCATGTTAAATAATAAAAAGGTAGGACCCAGATTGTTTTTTGTGGATGAAAAGTAAGTAAGAATAATTGTCTTAATGAGGGTAATGCTGAGCAAAAATGAAAAGTGATTGCTATCAGCTCATGTTTCCTATGAGCAATGGAAAGATCTGGCTCACATTTAGTTTGCCTTCCTCATTTTACAGATTTCTCGCTATGTTTCTAGAAGGGACTATTCATAGCCAACATATCGAGAACAAATGCAAATCCAGTGTGTAAATGATAATTGGTGACTTCCTACCAAGACCACACAGTAACTCACTTGACATACTCTGTAACCGAGGACATAAAGTTCTATGATTGGTACTAAAGGTTTAACCTCAAAATTGGGATTTATGTAATATATTGAGCATTTATAGTACAATAGAACACTACCATTCTAGACATATATTTTTTTTCTCTCATCTTTCTGCCAAATGTCAAAGCAATGGGAGAAATGGTGCACTGGTATGACTACTCTAACTCAGATTTTTATTCTTGCATCCTTGGGAAGAAAGCTAAAGTCAACTGCTGTCAAATAACATATTTTCATACAACAAACGCATGATACTAGTTTCTAATTTCTATTGGTTTCGGTAACACAGTTGGTAAATGCTTATGTCTGATCCACTTTGTCATTTTTGCTGCAATATCCATACTGTAGACTTCAAAAAAATGCATTTATTTTGCTTCCCAATATTTTCAGTTTTTTTTCTACTCTTATTTATAAGGGAGAAAGGGGAGTAACCACTTGTATAAACAGTGTTCTAGAGTGCTTTTTAATATTTTAACTAAAGAATAATTTACCTAAAACATATCTGTTATTCAAGTTGAAACAATGCTAAATGTATTTTTCTCTATGCCTTTTTTTTTTTTTTTTTGTACTCTGTAATTGCACTTTTTAAGTTTGAAGAGCCATTTTGGTATACAGTTTATATTAAAGATGCTATGGAACATAAAGTTGTATTGCCTGCAGATTAAAGTAACTTATTTGATAATGAATTTTATCCAAGGACTGAATTGTATCAATTTGTTTGTGTTCAATATCAGCTTTGATAATTGTGTACCTTAAAATATTGAAGGAGAATATAGACACTTTACAAGATATTGTTAATGTTTATTTATTTTTGTTGAGAACTGGAAAAAAATTGAAAAATAAAAATGCATTAAGCCATGCATTAAAACTTCACTGATGGAGTCTCTTTTCCCTTTTTCCCATAATGCGTTCAAGGATTTAAGAGCAGTGACAAGACTACAATGCAGTTAGATATAAAGACAAATGGTCTTAGTTTGGGAAAACATTAGATAATTTTATCACATTTTATTGCCCACCATAGTAAAGAATTTCTTTGAAATATAAAAAGCCACATTATTTATAAAATTCTAGGTGTTAGTATTTTTTAAAGAGTATTTTAGAAGAATATTTAAAAAGTATTTTTTTAAAAATTAGATACCCTAATTTAATCAAATAAAATTGACATTATTTTGAGGGACATTTTTTTTTTTTTACATTCAATATTAGTTCCAGGTGTACAGCATACTGATTAGATAATCACATACTTTATAAACTATCCCTTGATATTTCCAGTACCCACCTGGCTCCATACATGGTTATTAGAATATTATTGACTATATTCCCTCTGCTGCACTTTACATCCCCGTGACTGTTCTGTAACCACCAATCAGTACTTTTCAGTCCCTTCACCCTTTGCCCCTGTCCCCTAACCCTCCTCCGCTCTGGCAACCATCACTCTGTTCTCGGTATCTATGAGGCTATTTTTGTCTGGTGTGTTCATTTCCCTTGTTCTTTAGTTTCCACATATAAATGAAATCATATGGTTTTTGTCTTTCTCTGACTGATTTATTTCATTTAGAGTCAAGTAGCAGCAATATGCTGAATTCTAACATAAATATCTTCATTTAACAACTTCTTATCTCAAAGAGAATTTTTTGTGCTCACAAAATATTTACTTTAAGTAAAGACTTACTCTTTCCTCAAAAAAAAAAAAAGTGTATATGAACAACTATGCATGGTGTCAGATGGGTACCAGATTATTAGGACGATCGTTTTGAAAGTTATATGAATGTCTAATCACTATGTTGTACACTAGTAAGTAATGTAATATTGTATGTCAACTATAATTGAAACTTTTAAAAATAAATCAACAGAAGAAAAGTGGAAAAAAATAGAAAGCAGAAATACCCTACTGAGAAGTAATTCTTGATAGGACACGTCAGCCAGAGCATGTCTCGTGGTTCCCTCAGCTTCTACCAACTAAGAGGCTTGACTTCCCCAAGCCTTTGGAGCAGGAGGCACTGGTCCCTCTGAATGTCCATCACAGCAATGGCTCTCTTGGTTCATACTTCAACAGCCTACAGAATGCTGTGTCCTTAGACCATTTCACAGTCCGGGGATAGGTCAGGGAGGCATAGGTGTGATCATTTCACAGGGAGGTAAAGGGATTTGTCCAGGGTCACAGTGATAGTAAAAGTGGACATGGTATGAGAAACAAGGTCTTCTGGTCCCCAATTCCACTGTCATCCTGGCCCCGTCAGAGGCAGCAGAACCATCATGTGCAGTTAATCTGAAATCTAGTTTAGAGTTTCCTTGGGAGAAACAGAAATTTTTGTAAAATAAAATTCTTAGGATCTCACAGAACCATCAAATTGACTCTGTTCAGAGCCTGAGAACGCAGAGGGTAAGAGAAAGAATGCTTTGAAAAACACTTTCCACTTGGCTTCCAGGAAGCTACATTCACCTGGGTTCCCACCTGGGTCTCCACCTGCTTCTCAGCCTGGTGCTAGATCTTCCTTAATATCTCCCATCCCCAACTACAGGTCTGTAAATGTTGGAGTGCCCCAGATCTCAGTCTTGAAACTTTTTTTTACCTTGATAGCCCTCCCGACTTTATTTCATATAGTCCTGTCCCTTTAATTGTCATATAGGTACTGGTTACCCCCAGCCTGGATATTTCTGTTGAGTACCACACCTCATTATTTAGCCACCTATCTAAAATCACTTGGATACCCACTAGACATTCAAAGGTACCATGTTCAGTCTCTGATATCCCCCCTGAAAAGTTTTCTTCTACGATGTTCCCATCTCAATTAAATTCAACCACATCCTTCTTGTAACTCAGGCCTAAAACCTGCTACATCCTCTGGGAGGCACTGAGGGACTCACTTTCAAGTGATTTCAGAAATGATTACCCTAAACTTTTTACAACAATAGCAGAATTGGTCATTTTTAGGAGATTATGCAGGAGGAAAAAAAATCCCAGGGAACCAGGGTTAGATAAAATATCATAATTTTCAAAAGGAAGATATTATCTAGGCACTAAATTAGACTTTGATCAATTTTAGAACATATTTTACCCTACATAGTCACAAACATAAAACATAAGTGATGTTCATTAGGTTTCAACATGGATTCATTAAGAGGGAGACATGGCCCGGCTGGAGTAGCTCAGTGGTTAAGCAACGACCCATGAACCAGGGGGTCAGGGTTCGATTCCCAGTCAGGGCACATGCCCGGGTTATGGGTTCAAACCCCAGTTAGGGGCGTGCAGGAGGCAGGTAATCAATGACTCTCATCATTGATGTTTCTATCTCTCTCTCACTCTCCCTTCCTCTCTCTGAAATCAATAGAAAAATATTTTAAAAAAAAGGGGGGGGGGCATAAAACATGGATCTCTTTTAAATATCCTGTTTGGTCACCAGCTAATGGCAACTACCCATCATATAAAACCAAACACAGATACTTCATTCAGTTTATCTGAATATCTGAGAAATATTTGAGATAATTCTTCCAAAAATTTCACGTGTACCTGAAGTGCCAAGTACCTATTTAAAAAATAAGCACAGCCTAGGTTCATTTAATGCAGGCATTTCGAATGGATCTATTACCTGCTAAATAGATGAATGCCATATGATAGGATGACAGAAAACTTTAGATAAAGGTTTTGTTTATATTCACTGGGGATATAGGAAATAAACATAAAAAGCACAATAAGCGAATGGTGATTTTTCCATTCATTTTATCAGAAGGGAAAAATGATTTCCATTCTTCTGGGGATAGCAGGATTGATATCAAGAAAATATATGTCAGGTTCCTTGTTCTCAAGTTGCTATAGAGAGCAATTCACATTCTTAAAAAAAAAAAGATAAAATCAATGCTTTTTGAATTAGTCAACCAATATTTTATTGAAAAGCATTTTTTTTTTTTTTT